AAAATAACCACTTTAAAGATTATGAAGCATTCTCATACCTCATTGCTAATCAGATCAAATGGGACAGCATCCTAGGCTCCATTTTCCCACACCGGGCAAATGAGAGCCCAAATGGTAAATGGCAGAGTCAGGACAAGAACAAGAGTCCCTGGGTCCTGGTCCAGAGGACGTTCTGCTCTGCCACACTGCCCTTGAGCAATGTCCAAACCGCTGGCTTTCACCGTCTTCTACCCTTCCCAGTGGCCTCTGCTCCTGCCCCAGCCTAGACTGCTCTCAGCACCTGCTTCCTGGATCCCTCTGGCTCCTCCTTAGTTACGATTCCCTCTTGCTCCTTATTATTCTTTTAATGGCTCTTCCTGGGAAACATCTGTTGGTCTAGCCTGATCCCTGGTACCCTATGTGGGACTCAGAGAGGCAGAGCTTCATCCGTCTTATCTGACGGAGCCCATCAGCAAACACGTGATCCCAGCATCCCCCAGGAGCCTTCGGTGGGTCTCCCAACGTGCCAGACTTCCAGGGAGCAGTGGGGTCCCCCTTTATCCCCCCACCAGCCACCATCCCCTACACCTATTCTGTCATCTTTCACATACCGGCCTTGGGTGCAATCCTTGGCCTGAAGCATTAAGAGCTGTAAACAGGGAGGGGCACCCGGGTGGCTTGGTTGAGCGTCCAGCTTCGGTTCAGGTCATGATCTTGTGGTTTGTGAGTTTGAGCCCCGCGTCGGGCTCTGTGCTAACAGCTCAGAGCCTGGAGCCTGGAACTCTGTCTCCCTCTCTCTCTGCCCCTCCCCTGCTCATTCCCTCTCTCTCTCTCTCTCTCAAAAATAAACATTAAAAAAACTTTTATTTTTAAGAGCTGTAAACAGGGAGAGCATAGGCAGCAAGGGCCCTAAAGAGAAATGACTGCCCATTATTACAATTAACCTCTCCCCACTCGGCCTCAGCCACCACGCCAGTCAGATGCTTTCAATACCTTAAAATCTCCAAATCACTTCCAGCAACTTGGGTGACATTTTCATGCCAAAAATACTTTCAGAAGCCACACTCCCCAGATGTCTCTAGCTAGAGGAAGCCAGATATTTTCAGCATTTGAGAAAAGTATAAATCTTGAGGCCAGAGGAGTTTCAGCAAAGGAGTGGCCTGGGTTGGAGGGAAAGCAAATTGCACAGCCTGGAAGGAATGTGTCCCTCCTGGGCCCCTTCAATGTCATTGGGCTGGCTGAGGTTCATGTCACTGCTTCCCATGTGAGCAGATCTAAAGAAAGAGAAACACGAGGTCACCCAGAAGCCTTTGTATTCCAATTATAGACATGTTCATGATAAAATGAACCTTTGGGTTTGCTTTAAAATACTCCGGTTTTGGGGAATGCAAGCTGGTGCAGCCACTCTGGAAAACAGTCTGGAGGTTCCTCGAAAAACTAAAAATAGAACTACCCTACGACCCAGCAATTGCACTACTAGGCATTGATCCACGGGATACGGGTGTGCTGTTTCGAAGGGACACATGCACCCCCGTGTTTATAGCCACACTATCGACAATAGCCAAAGTATGGAAAGAGCCCAAATGTCCATCGACGGATGAATGGATAAAGAAGATGTGGGGTATATATACAATGGAGTATTACTCGGCAGTCAAAAAGAATGAAATCTTGCCATTTGCAACTACGTGGATGGAACTGGAAGGTATTATGCTTAGTGAAATTAGAGAAAGACAAAAATCATATGGCTTCACTCATATGAGGACTGTAGGAGACAAAACAGATGAACATAAGGGAAGGGAAACAATATAAAAACAGGAAGGGGGACCAAACAGAAGAGACTCATAAATATGGCGAACAAACTGAGGGTTCCTGGAGGGGCTGTGGGAGGGGGGATGGGCTAAATGGGTAAAGGGCACTAAGGAATCTACTCCTGAAATCATTGTTGCACTATAGGCTCACTAATTTGGATGTGAGTTTTAAAAAAGTGAAAACTAAAGCTAAAACTAAAAAATAAAATAAAATCCTCCAGTTTTGTCTTGTTGTAAGTGGAAGGAGGAAGATAAATGAAAAAGTTGGCAAAGCGATGATTCTTGAAGTTGGGTGCTAGGCACATGCAGTTCAATTCCCATTCTCTCTGCTTTTGTTTATGTTTGAAACGTGTCATGATAAAACTCTTTAAAGGCTCCACGAGAAATAAATCCTCAGCTGACTTTTCACCTGGAGTCATACCAAGTTATTTATCCAGCTACTCAGGCAAGGGTATTCAATACAGGGTAATGAGCAGAGCTCCTCTCTTGCAGGCAGTTTGTAACAGCCCGTTATTTTTCGATCACGCTAGAGCTAGGGGTAACATAGATGCACTACAAGAAATAATTCTCAAGTAATAGCTGTAGTTGAAAAAAATTGCACATCCAGGGGCGCCTGGGTGGCTCAGCTGGTTAAGCCTCCGACTTCCGCTCAGGTCACGATCTCACGGTCTGTGGGTTTGCGCCCTGCATCAGGCTCTGTGCTGACAGCTCAGAGCCCGGAGCCTGCTCCGGATTCTATGTCTCCCTCTCTCTCTCTGCCCCTCCCCTGCTCGTGCTCTCTCTCTCTCTCTCTCTCTAAAAAATAAACATTAAACATCTTTTTAAAAAATTGCACATGCCCATGATTCATCTGCTCTGCATTCATTCAACACAGTCTTTACTGAGCCTGTGGCGTGGCAGGAACATACAAAATTAAAGCTCGGTGCCATCTTCTGAGACCCAGCTTTGCTTTAGTCTGTGTGACTTAATTATTTAACCTTCCTGCATCTCCTCTGGAAAAGGTGGCTGCTGTGAGCATTAGGTGAAGGGATGCTTGCCGAGTAACTAGCACAGTGTCTAATTTGGAGGAGGGAAAGGGGGGTGGCGGGTCACAGTCTGCTGGGTGGGACAATAGATGGGTCAGTCCAGCTCCCACAGAATTCAACAGTTGCTTCTGCACGTTTGTGACTGATGACAATACAGATGCTTTCTGTACTCACAAGGGATTTCTAAAGTAGTGTCTGTTGTATTTCTTGTCAATGATAAAAATTATAGAGGCTGGTCATTGAAAAGTTGGACAAGACTGAAAAGAACCACAAAAAGAAGGAAAAAGGTCCATAAGCCCACCAACCAGAAATAAGCAGCGTAAAAGACACTGTTTATTAACATAACAGATATCCTTACTCCTTCCCCATTGCAGCCTCCACTCTGGAGACTTGGAAGCTAAATATTCCCCGTCCCGGGCTTCCTTGTAGATGGGGGACAGCCACAGGACCCAATTCTGGTCAAAGAGACCTAAGCAAAAATCTGCTGGGGCACCTCAATGGGCTCTAGATGTATCTGATAAAAGGGACAGAGACTGCAGGCTACTCCCCTTCTTCCTTCCTGCCTCAAATGTAGACGTGATGCCTGGAGCTGTGGCAGCCATCTTGTGACCATAAAGA